CCATTAGTTTATGTTGATGATGTATGTCTTTCCCAAGTCAGAGGAAACAAGTATTGACCTCAAAAAAAAAAAAAATCCATTATTTCACCGACAAAATGGGTTTACTCAGAAATAATAACAACAAAAGGAGGCATCTTTACCCTCTTTAATCTTCAGCACCCTCTTCAAAGGATATATAAGGGAGGGTCAGCCTTGGCAGTGCATGAGATTGCATTTACCAAACTGCCCTCTGTACTGATATGATTTCTGAAACAAGCTGGGGGAAAACTCTCACACTGGAATTGAAAGGCAGTAAAGGTGGAGGTTCTGCTTGTGTTTTGTTTACTAAGGACCATGGGGGTAGGGAGGGACCATGGTAAGGGTGTGACCAATGGGGAGAAGCAAGACAGCCTGTTTATATTCCCAGAAGCTAGTCTTGTAATATTCTGACTTCAGGTGACCATCTGGGGGGTTCCAGCCATTCCAGGGGTAAAGGAATGAAACCTCGATGATAATTGAATAAAAATCAAACAACTGTTTTCACCTTGATCCCAGATCTAGAAGATGTGTTATAGGGCAGTCCCGATATTGAACGGGTTGCCTGGCTGTGGGTCCTCACCCGCGCGCTTACAAGGGACTTATGAATACTCCACTACAGGCACACACAAAAGGTTAATAAAAGGTTTATTTACAAGGGAAAAGGAAAGAAGGAAAATGTACAACTCAGGGAGAAAATAGGGAAATAAAGTCTTTAATGCATCCTACCCGATCCGTCAACCTGGAAACACAAAGGCACTCTCAGAGCTGGCTGGACGCTGTGAGGTGGCAGAGAGCCAAAAATGGGGGACCCCTCCAAGGCCCACGTGTCTGGCTTTATACCAACCTGGCTGCTTAACCCCACCCTCAGGTCCCAGCCACCTTCCCTTTGGTGGTGATGGGATTTGGAGATCCCAGTGTCTTTGGCTTTGGCCTGGGGTGGGGGTGGAGTCCACAAAGCCTGTATGGAATTAGCTTTAGGACATCCTTTTCCCCCTAACAGATCCACATCAATCTTGAATGTTTATGTACCCCCTTTTACTTTTACAATAAATAAACAAACAAAAACCCCAAACAAACATATAGCTCCGTTTCTACACAATACAAAGCAAAACCTGGGTTTTCTTGTTGCAATAGTCTCATGTGTGATCATCAGAAAATAAAAGTTTCCTCACGCCAGCATAGGAGGAGAACCTTGGTTTAAGGTGTAGCAGCTCATCCTGCTGTTTATTTTTTTTTTTTTAATACGGGCATGTTTTATTTATTTATTTATTTGTTTGTTTGTTTTGTTTATACAAGCACTGGGTACAGTCAGAAGTGCGGGAGGGTGAGAGAATTCACCAGAGCCAGAGCGGGGAGCAGAGCAGGCAGAAGGACCGAAGTACACTGCTGAGGGGAGCAGCGGGCAGCAGGAGAGGTCTGCGCTCCATGTGGGACCCTCCTCCGGTGGCCGGGGAGCAGCCAGGGATCAAACCGGCGCCGCAGAGGCCTCGGGCAGCTTCGCAACCCAGCGCTCAACCTCTGCACCACCGGGGAGGCCCCTGCTGTGTATTTTAGAGCCCCTCCCCTGACTTACTGTTTCGTGCAGTGGCAGGCCTCTTGAACATGTCAGAGGACGTCTTTCACTGTTTGATTTCTGAATCATACTCTAGTGGCTCGACCCTGTCACTTACATCCAGGACTCATTTTGAGCATAATTATATTAATTTTCTTCCCAGGCATGATATGCAATAAAAGATAAAAATAAAACCGGCAAATGAAGCTATGGTGTTGGAAGTTACAATAGTGGTGACCTTTGAGGAAGTAAAGACTTGGGGAGTAGGTGGTGTGTGTGGACCTTCTAGAATGCTGGTAATGTTCTGTTTCTTGACAAGGATGCTGATTACACAGGTGTGATCATTTTGTGATAATTCATCAAACTGCCTGTATGGATTTCTATGTTTTTCTGTATTCATGCTGTTTATGAGATCTGAGAAATATGTGGGTTGTTTTTTTTTTTTTTTACTTCTCCAACTTCTCCAAATGTGAGGAGAATAATGAGGAGGGGGATTGATTGAGAAAGACTACTGAACTACAGCAGAATCACTGAAATGAACCTGCTGAGAAATAGTGGTAGCTTAGAACAAGGGGACAGTGGTGCAGTGGGGCAGAAAATCGGCTAGACTGTATTCCATATATCATCTGAGGGTAGCAACAAAACAGCAGGTTTTGCTCATGGATCAGATGTGGGTGAGAGGAGAGAAGAATCAAGAATAACTCCAAATTTCTTAGTTGGAGCAACTGGGTGAATAAATTTGCAATGATCTCATGAGAGAGCATGCATTGGTTCCAGCAAGAAAGACAAGGGAACATCTAAGGAGAGGTCGAGGGTATGAGCTCTTTTACTAGTGATTGACTGTGACTACTGGGAGGCAGAATGTGGGGTATAGGCTTAGAGACAGGAATGTCTGGAGCCTCATGTGGATCACCATACAAGTCTTCATAATGAAGCCTTATGATGCCTCGACTTCATAAACAAGGGTCAAATGCAAAATGAGATTGGTTCTTATCATCCCAAAGTTAAAAATGGTGGTGAGGCAGTGAATATTGTTGGTGTGAGGGAGAGCTCTAGACACCAGTTGTCTAGAGCTCCCCTTGATCCTTGCTGATGGAATCAGGATCTGTTACCAGTACCCTCAGACATCTGAAAAAGGAGACCCTTGTGGAATATAATACCACTTTTTTCCTAAGCCAGTAACAAGACTTTGTGCCACATGCTCCCAGCATACAGTGGCAGCAGGAGGTATACAAGGTATCTCTAAATTCTCCCTCCTGCCTCTACAGGTGGTGTTAGGGAACACTTGCAGCCAGATACCCACAAACATACCCAACCGGATTTCCTCCCCAAACCTTGACTACTCTTTCCCTTTGCCACTTTATTTTCCTTCTATTTCTCCTTTTCCCCCTTAAGCTTTCAGCACACAATCTCTAAACATTTTTTGGCTTTCCAATCAATTGCAACACTCCCTCAAAAGATACACATATATCTCAAAACCTTTCCCGAATCCTCTTGATGCTGGACATCATGTTGCTTAAATATCAGCTTGATAAAGCCTGGTGACTAATCTCATAGATGAAGTAATATCTCATTTCAATTTGCATTTCCATTTCAAATTTGCAATAAAATGAACATTTGTAAATGTTTTTCTAAATGGTGAATGGCCAGTTCACACTTTCCAGTTTTTTCTATTCTTTTTTATTGGTTTGTAGATGCTCTTTACTCCTGGCAAAGAGTCTTTCATCACTGCTTCTACATTTTACATTGGTTGCGGTGTCTTTTCCTTCAGAAGTTTAAATGTTTCATCTTGAATTCAGGATGTGTAAAGGGAAAAATTTGACTTAAAGAAACATTTGTGGGAGATAACAAAAAATGGATGCTTTAGTTCATTACAAATGGCACTTTTTGGGAGAAGCTGATAAATAACAACTTTCAGTAACTCCCTTAACCAGAGCCTAACTGAAGACTGCGCCCTTAGAAAAGAACAATGGGATTTAGTGTAGCCAGTTGTGTGCAGACCTCTGGACTCAATCCATCACATCTGGAGTGTGCTGGTTTTCACTGTTTAATTCGCATGACCCCTCTTAACACTTAAAACCCCTGACCTCACCCTGACACAGCCCCTTCTCTTCTGTTTTATTCCTTGACAGTCGATTACATAGTCTCTGAGTTCCTTAATTGGCAAATAATAGAAGTTACCTCATCCATGAGTATGAGGCTTAAAAGAGTAAACATGTAAAGTACTTAGAACAATGTGTGTCTGATAGACAAGAAACACCCAGTAAATTTTAACCATAATGTTACTATTATGTCAAATTTACTTTTTCCTTTATTTGTGGTTTTTGGTCTCATTTAAGAAAGACTTCCCCAATCATTAGGGGTTATCACAAATAGTCCTCCTTTCTCCTCCTCCCAGACACCTTGTAGACTCCCTTTGAAATTAGAGGTGGCCATGTGGCTTCATTTGATGGATGAAATGTGAGCAAAAGTTGTAATATCCAGGGGTGACACCACCCATTCCCAATCCCTTTCCAGCCTTGCTTATTATGAAAATACATTCTGCGATGGAGCCTCCAGCATCCTGCTTCCCCAAGCGACTATGAGCAGAGCCCCATGTGGCCTGAATTGGTCATGAACACAAAATCAGGTTTTTTTTTTTTCTTTTTGTAAGAAATATTTTCCTGCTCTGAGGTTGTAAACATATTCTTCTACACTTTTGGTAGTCATTTTAGAGGTTTATTTTTCACATTTAGGCCTTCTGTTTCTTTGGGGTTACCTTTATATATGGTGTGAAACAATGCATTCTTTTTTTCATGTGAAAAGTTGATAGTCCCAATACCATTCTTTGACCTGTCCTTTTTCCCACCGGTGTGTGAGGTCGCCCTTGTCATATCTGGAGTGCCTGAGTTCACGTGGGTCTTTCTCTTTACTCTTTATTCACTTGGTGATCTTTTTGTGACTTATGGTACCTTTTGTACTGTGTGGTTTTACTTACCTTCACTTTTCATTTGTCTCAATAGCTGGTAGGACAAGGGTATGAAGAATGGGGAAAGAAGCGTGAGTCTAGCTCTGCGCCTCTTAGACAAACCTTAGTGAGTAGAACACCAGGCTCTGGTCTAGAGTTCCTGGCTATCTCTACCGCAGAACCTGCCAGTTCATTTCCTCAGAGATAATCAGAGCAAGTTAGAAGCAAGGAATAGATATGGAGCTTGGAGCTATTATTAAAGTAATTGGCAGGGTATGGTAACTGCTTCGATTTCTGGTGGGGATAGTAGAGGAAGAGGAATTTACCTAAGACCGTTCTGGCACAGTTCTAAGACAGTCAGGACTCCAAAGATTTTCTGTGAGAAGTGTAGGACATGAACCTTCTCAACTGTGAGATGCCAACATCAAGTATAATGCCTTGGGAGAATTTCTTGAGCAAAGAACACAACCTGTAGAAATATCTAGTCACAGAGAAGCAAGGTGCGATTATAAATGCTTTATTTCTTTTAATTATAATATCCATCATGATTAAATTCTATTTTTAAGACTGTTACTGCTGATGGTATTTAAAAACATTGCTTTTTACTCATCGCAGAATATCAAGACGACAAGACTTATCTCAGGTAAATTTGAAGGCAGAGAACATGCTTTCGTATTAACCTGAGCCACACAAAAGTCCCACCATTCCTAATGCTGCCAACTTTGACAAGCCAGTGCACCCCCACCCCATTGCCTTCCTCCCACACCCCTCTTCAAAACTCCATGCAGAACCAGGTACTAGCAGGGAGGGTCATAGCTCAGCATGGATGAGCAGCAGCATGAGGAGGCCAGGCAACAGCAGAAGGAATACGGAAATTTCTCTCATTCCTGCAGATGGGAAAAGAGAAGGAAAGGTTTCTCTGTGGGGTTTCTTGATATGTGGGTCTCACAAACTTTTTGAGATTTACTCTAGGGTCAAAAACCCAAGATGATGGGCAATAGGCGCTCCCTGTAGCTGGCCCGCAGTTAGATTCTCCTCCTGTCTTTCAGGGATTCCTGAGCTCAGGTCACTCTGAGTTGATTGAGTTCTCAAGGCCTAATGTGCCCCTCATCTCCTTCCAGAGCTACTTCTAGGCCCTTTGTCTTCCAAGTACAGCTGTAGCAATGTTAAGGCCTTCCCTGCCTGGGACCTGCAGCTCCCTGCACAATCAGGAGCCACTATAGGCTTGTCTTGCTCTGTCTACAATGTTTCCAGGTCTGGACCAAAAGGAAATTCATCTTTTGCAGCAACATGTATACTCCTTTCTCCACCAGCTAGCATTAATGGGGGTTATGACTCTTGATGGGGCCACCTGAGGTTCTCTGTCTCACTAAATCTGAATATCAACCGCTGGGCCTGAGATGGTAGGCAGCTGCTTTCCTCTGCCGAATACTTGGCTGTTTCTACTAGTCTTGACCCAAATTCAAAATTACTCCACCGAAAAGCACAGAGTTGCCCTGTGATCACTCTTCGTTGTTCCCTTTCTACCCTCAAACATTTCTCTAATTTCCAGCCCCCTAGCAGGGCATAAACACTAATTTAGTTGAAGTTTTCTAGATACTCAGTCTCTCTGCAGCTCAGATCCACTTCTGGATGGACCCTGGCATCTCTGCAACTTAACTAAGTTCAACAACATGTACTGGAGCCCTGGTCAGGAATGAATGACAGGCCATAAGTGCCGGTGAAATAGGAGTATCTCTAGCATCAAAGAGATGGCCAGGTGCTACATAGAAGGTTGTCAATTCTCACAGAAATACTACTACAATATTTGTTATCTGTATCCTTATTTTATAAATGAGACAATTAAGGTACAGATCACTTAGGTAACTTGCCCAAAGTCACAGAGCTAGTAGGGGTTGAGCCTGGATTACTATTGGTGTGGCTGGACCCCAAATCTGCAAGGAGCACAGTGTGAGGTTTAATTTTTCCTGAAAGTATGGAGCAAGGCTTACCACTGAAGTGATATCAGAGCTAGGTCTTAAAAAAAGAACTACTATATCAAATTAATAGTGTCTTGGATTGGTTGAATACTACATAAGATCTGAGAGACTTCAGGCCATAAGGAACAATGGATGGAAAGTGCATGGAAACCCAAAAGCCAGGGCATCTTGGGATGGTTGGGTCTCACTCACCACATGTCTGGAAAGGTAATAGCCTTTCTCACTCTCCACTACTATTTCTGGCCATTGCTGTTATGTCTTCACTAAGCTCTGTGTCTCTTGGTTTTACCACATCTAACCTTTGTCAGGTAGGCATCATCCCTGTAATGTAGGCTACTAGGTGGCCCACCCATGCAGAAATGTTTCAGTTCTTTTTCTCTGACTCTATTCACTTGCTCTTTATTCCAGCCAACTTCTATGTAAATGGTTGGACATAACCTGCTCAGAACCTGCAAACCATCCACACTGTCGTGTTTTCTGAGTTCATCCAGCTAAGTTCATCCAGCTTTCCTCTCTTCCTCTCAGCATGTCTCTTAGAGAACGCCAGTTCCCTGACCTCCCTCCATTGCCACGTCCACCTCTTCAGTTTAGGCATCCATATCTCCCGGCAGGATAGCTGCATAGTTGCACTATTCCAGCTGGAGCCAGGGCTGCTAACTCCCCTGCCCTTTCCTAGGTGTCCTGGCAACTAGTGGTTTCCATGACTCGTGTTCCCTGGTGCACAACAGACCTTCCTAACCTTTCTGCACAACAGACATTTTGGGAGCTTGACTGGACTGGACACCGCCTGAGCTGCTCTCCACTCCAGGAGATCAGTCCTGTCGTTTTAGGAACCTAATACTTAGCAACAGTCAGGTGAAGACCCCATTGTTCGCTGTCCTGGGGGCTTCTGGTAGCAGAGCACCCCCTTCTATTTCATGGTGGCCCCAACTCTCCCACCTGAAACATGGACCCAGACTCACCTGAGCTGTTGTAACAGTTGAAAAAACTTTTCGATTTTTGGGGGTTTTTAAGTGAAAATTCATTGAATTTTCCAGTGCTTGGCTGTGCAGTGATGTCTTGATATTCCTCATACCCTGGAATTAGCACTTCCTGTTGTTGTGGTATCAAAGAGAGTTTTGAAATATCAACACCTAAGGTGGTTTGGATGGTCAATAGTGTCCCCTCTTTATTTTTAATAAATTCAATAGCTTGCTCACGAGACAGAGATGATGAGGCAAATTGCCCAAAACGTACATTCCCTTTCCCAGGGTAATTACACCGGGCCTGGGAACCTCTAAAAACTGTGTACTCCTTCTTTTCATGGAGAAGCTGAAGAGCTGTGGTCAAATAGTAATGGAAGGCTTTGAACCGAAACTTTTTTGACTTGAATTCTCTTATAGCTTTGGTAAAGTCTGTTCCAATGGGCCCAGTGTAGGCCACTACAGCTGTTGCTTGGAATGCATTTAATTTTTCCAAATTCTTTATACTACCCTTTATTTTATCCTTTATTTCATCCCAATGTTTTGCTGCCTCTTCCCATGCGGATTTAACCGTTTTATTTGCTTCCAGTTCTTCTGTTAATAGCTGATGTGCCTTTGCCTCCATTTGTTCAGTACAGCCCTCATACTGATCATCAAAAAAAGTTTCAGCCATGTCTAACTGACATGACTCGCCTTCCCATGCCAGGCCGGTCACCTGCAAAGAAGGAGCAATGTTCCTTGACACATATGTTGAAAAGCCCGCATATACTAGATGCTACCCAGAGCCCACAGCAGGGACTCCGCTCAGCATGGAACCTGACATGGTCCAGTCAGAGGACTCCTGCCTGGTACGTATATAAAGACAGTCTGACATTATGAGTAGTGAAGAAAGGTACAACTAGGCTTTGTGGCTCTGGTTTGTTTCCTGATTTTTTTTAAACTCTTCAGATTCATGCTTTCTAACTAGTTTTAGCACAGATTCAAGTGTGAATATATAGATATATATACACACACACTACCTGTTGTGTTAGGATATATTACCTGGGTTAGGATCAAAAAGTGAACTGCTGTGGCCAGAAGAGATGTCATCTCCAAGTTCAAAAATAACTGAAAATAAGAAAAACAAACTTATTTTCTAATACCACCCAATCACTGTAAGTTATTGTCAAGTTATATCATTTTGACTCTTTTTTAAAGATTTATTTATTTATGCATAAAAGAACTGGGGGTGTATGCAATGGAATATTACTCAGCCTTCAAAAAAGATAAACACATGCAATTTCCAGCAACATGGATGGAGCTGGAAGGGATCATGCTCAGCAAAATAAGCCAGAAAGAAAAAAATGGTCTCACTCATAGCAGGAATCTAGAAAACCCAAATAAGAGACCAGGAAAAAGAATAACTATAAGAAAGAAAAAATCAACAAACAGCTATGAACTGGAGACACACTATGGGGGGGGGCAGCGGGAAAAGAAGAGATTGGGGTCAAAATAAGGGGGTTGCAATTGTATGGGGAATATAAAAATAAAATTTAAATAAATAAATGAATTAATAAATAAATAAATAAGAAAGACAAAAAAAAGAACTGGGGTGTAGGCCAGAGGTGTGGGGAGTAAAAGGATTCACCAGAGACAGAGTGGGGAGCAGGACAGACAGATTGACTGAAATACACTGCTGAGGGGAGCAGTGGGCAAGACAGGAAAGGTCTGCTGCACCATGTGGGTCAGCTCCTTGGCCAGGGATCAAACTCAGGCAATAGCAGTGATAGCACCGAGAGACTTAACCCCTAGGCCACCAGGGAATTCCCCTCATTTAAACTCTTATATGGTGTAAATTAGCAAATATGCCCGCAGTATCATTCACCCAAACTTCATTCCCAAACAATAGCAATTTATTTAAATGCTATCTCTCAGATTTCAAAAGTAACAATATATAAAAAAAAATTCACATGACCAAAAAAAAAAAAAAAACAAAACACCACACAACCTGCAAATAAATATAAGGTAATGAAAATGAGGTGTGACCACTGTGAATATACTAACATGTCAGTTACTGAATCCCTTCTTTAAATATAGAAGTCCGGATCCTGTCTGTATTGTTTCTTGACTAGCTAACCCAGATTTTTGGTGAAACTCTGCCTGACTCCTGCATGCAGGGACCAGGTGAATCTGCCTTACGGGTCCCAGTAGGAAACTGATAGAGAAAATGATCCTTGCTGGTATTAGGCAAGGCTGCCTATCACATAGATGGCCATTGAGAAAAACAGATGACATTTTAGCAGACACTTCACAGGCCCTAATATTGTACTCCCCCTTAAAAAAAATACTATCACTTCGATCAAAAATGTTTTAAAATAATTTTCTTCAAAGTTTTGACTTGAAGCTCAAACTTCAGTCAATACTTCTGAATAACTTGACATTGTCAACTTTTCATCAGGAGAGCTAATATTCACGAAAGCTTTTGGGATTTCTTGGCTGAAAAGGAGAGGTAGAAGTTGGCATGTGCATGGAGTTGGGAGGGAGGTGTTGATGAGAAAATATAATATTGAGCAAATGAATATAATAAAGATTCCAACAGCCCAGGTGCAATGAACACTCCAATGCAGGCATAATTGACAAGTTTGCTTACTTAGAGCTCTTTCCCTTTCAAGATTCATGGCCAGGGCCTCAGCCCTCCTATCTAAACAAAGTTTCATTTCAGAAGGGTCCAGTAGCCAGTCAAAGCTGGTCTGTCTCTCCAAGGCCATCTCCAGGTGTTGGCCTCTTTTCCCCTTTGCCTGTCCTTCCCCCACTTGTCTGGGGACTTTGCAGCAAATGGTTGTGCCTGCTGAAAAGCGATGCTATCAATGTAACAAATATGAAGACAGTTATGTATAAAAGGAACTCTGTCTTTAAACAGGGGCTCAGCCCTTACAGGGCTACCTAGGTCTGGGACCTCATGCATGAGTAATAAAGCTTTTCCTGACCTCATCATTCCTGAAGTACCGCTTATTCTTCCTCTGCCTGGGTAAAAGGCCAGAATTTCTACAACAGGGGAAGTTCAAAGAGAGAGCTCAGTCTTCTTATTTGCCTCAGGCTGGATCTGGACATAGAACTATCCCTGCTAAGGGTGCGTTGTGGTCTCTCCTAAGCTAACCCCAGGTTGGCTAGTGGTGGATTGTACTTGTTGGACCTGCATCTGCCCAGGACTGGAGTGTGGAATTACTATGACAGAATGAGGGAGAAGAACCTGTTCCTAGTGGTCCCATGAGACCTGAGACCAGGTGATGGCTTTGAGGAGAAATATTTGGTTTGTTAGGTACCATCTATGGAGTCTGTGGATGTTTTCAAAAAAGATTGTAAGTGCTTTGGGAGATGGGAGAAAACTTGGAATAAGCACAGGGTAGAGGGTGAATGGAACAGCTTTCCACCCACGCTGATTATTCTCTGGGAGGAGATGAAGGTGGGTCCTAAACACCTGGTGAGTATAGAGCAAGTGGCTCCCGTAGCACTCAAAAAGTATACATTCTTACCATGCCATCCAGGGTTACCCAAGTTTAGCCATAGAGATGGTAAAATGGGGAGCTGGTTGCACCTTTGGGGTCCATCATTCCTCATCCTGAATCAGACTGGAAACTGGGAAGGGCCCCTCTAGCCTTTGGAGAAAGGGAACAGTCCCTTTTCCAGTGTCCATACTATTTGCATTAGGAACAAGAGCCAGGTGGGCATCATGATTGAGGGCAGTTTCTGCTCTAGTGCCCAACCTGCCGCATTGATAGCTTAGAGCCGCTAAGGGGTCCTCAACTCTTCAAGGCAGGTCAGGTGTCTGGCCCTTTGAGCCTGCTAAGCCTGAGTCTACGGGGCACCATCAAGGACAGTGCCTGTGAAGTGAGTCTGTCTCTTTTCCCTCACCCTAGCCTTCTTTTCCATTCACTCTGGAGTGGTGGGGTCTGTGGCCCCATCACTTTCAAAAAAGTGCTTTGAATATTTTTCAAAACCTCCCACTCTACTTCCTAACATGTAACTATTCCAGGCCCGTTGGATGGCCCAAGCACATCCTACCCACTTGCTTTTGGAACTTTATGCAAATGTTTGGGGCACACTTGTTGATGAAGCAGGTTCCCAAAATTACTTTTCCCTCTCTTAAGTTTGGATGGAAATTTATAGATGACTTCAGTTGCCCTTGAAACAGGGCAGGGTTCTCATTGGGTTCCTGGATGGCTTCCTGGACCTTTTCATGGTTTACAAGCTTGGATATACATTTTTTCATTCCCTCTACGAGTCTGGTGATCATATGATCTCAGTGGGCTAAATCTGGTCATCCTATCTGGTGGTTCCTGTTGGATCATTAACAGGGACAGCAATATTCCCAACCTCATATTTGTTGGGTTGCCCGGCAGCTAAGTCATTTACGTATCTCTGACTTCAGCCCAAATATGTTGTTTTCCTCCTCCATAGCTTAGGTGAAAAGGACAATGTAAGCATCCTGCCAAATTAAATCAAAGACCAGGACAAGGGCCTGAGACTCATCAGTGAACTTTCCAGAATCAGAAAACCTTCCCAATTTTTGCTTAGAGTGGATTAGATCAGTCACAGAAAAGGGCACATGGACCCAGATGGTCCCCCATCCCCATTGGCTACTTCAAGGAGGGGGCATTTTGGGGAAAGCTGACAAATGATGCCTCACTTGAAGTATAACCTGCTGGCCTTGATCCTGGCAAGGGGAAGTGGACAGACCTGTATGTAGGAGGTGCTGTTGGGGGGTCAGTGGGTACCTCTGTTTCTGGGCTAACTAGAGGTCCCAGGGCCCTAAGGAGATAGCCTACCTGGTAAGGGGTCAAATACCAACAGGTTCCTCCTTTTTAGGTGGTGAAAGGAAGGTCCAGCAAGACACATTCGATAGGACTTGCTTAACTTTGGATCATGTTGCAGGGCCATGAAAGCCTTCATATAGGGGGACTTCTGTCCACTTGCCTTACCTCCTACACAACCTGTCTAACTGTAAAATGGTATTGAAGATTACAGTCCTGATGTAGTTACAAATGATTAGTCTCTCAGATAAGAATTAACAAGTTTGTCTTCCCCCCATCTCTTGCAATTTTCCCCTTATTTGACAAGTTTGTCTTTTTTATGACTGGTCTCTCAGATAGGCATTAACAAGTTTGTCTTTTTCATATTTTTTGCAATTACCCCTTTGTTTGACAGGTTTGTCTTTTTGCATTCTAAGGAAAAGGAAGGGTATCCTTAAGAGGATAATAAAGAAGCTAAACATTTAAGGAAGTTAAACATCAGATGTTAACAAAGCAAGCTGACGCCCACCTGAAATTTCAGTATGCCTGCATCAAAAGGATATGCTGACCCTTTTTATTTCCCTTTTGTTTTACTCCTTTGTATGAATAACCCTGCCCTCTGCCAAAGAGCAGGACTGTGGTCTTTCAGACATGAGTTTGCTGCCCTCCTCATTTGTCGACAAATTAAACACTTTCCTTTTCCTCAAACTTTGTTTCCTTTTATTGGCTGAGGGAAACTGAGGCCAGCGGTTCGGTATCAGGCCCATCAAAAGGCCAGGCTGCCTGATCCTCTAGTTTATAAAGGGGCCAGACTGAATTATATGACTTACAGTATTGGATCAGCAGGGTTTTTTTTTGTTTGATTTTTTTTTAGGACCATTAGCTCTAACCCTTTGTAGTTCTTCAGAAGGCAGCCCAGAGGAGAGAGTGTGGCGTGGAGTGAGCAGATCCCATCCTGGATGGGAGTCTGAGGAAAGAAGAAAGAGTGAGTCTGTCATGGACAGATATCAACAGACAGACGAGGAGATGCAGCCCCAGGCAGGCCTGCAGGAGGAAGTCCTTTCTTCACAGATGCCCCACCCGAGGAATGGTCCCCTCAGCCTGGGTGTCCCCAAGCTGAAGCCTGTTTTCTGCTCTATCTTCTCTCCTCTGTGGCTAGAGAACGTATTATTAAAACTTGGGATCCCAGTAAGGCCTCTGCCCTGGAGGAAGAAGGCACTGAAATTCAAAGGCTCTGACTAGGCATTGCATAAGAGTGATGCCAGAATTGTCAGGCCTAGTCTCCCAGCCAGGAACGGATTCCAGGCTGCAGGGCAGTGCTGGCCCCAGCCGCTAGACCCCCACGGGTTGGTGTCTCACGAAGCCACAGCAGGAACTTCGCAGACGCTCAGGCAAGCAAGCGAGAAGAGGCAGTTTGTTTAGAAAAAGAAAAAGTTTATTGAGGAGAAAAAGAACAGAAATAAAGTGGGACTCCCAGGCCAGGGAACCAGGCCTGGGAGGGGCAAGGAAGCCAAAGTGGAATTGTGTTTCAGGGAATATATACCTTTTTTCCCTCATTATTCTAAAACTTCACCAGTCTCTCTGTGATTGGTTAGTTTTCGGCTGTCTCACTTAATTTGCTACTGAGTGGGGATCTTCACATTCCTTATCTAACAGCTTTCTCTTTCCCCATTTGTTGCATCTTTAAATTTATGGCCCAGTCCTCTGGGTGGGCATCCCTGCATTGAAGTTAAACAGCTGCCCTTCTAATGTGACCATAAATTAAACCACTCTCCATTTCTCCAATCTCCGCCTCCCTTTACCACCTGAAGGAAACCAGGACCAGCATTAACAATGTTGTCCTTGGTCCTGGCATGTTTGTTTTTCCTAATGGAATTGGTTATATTTCTTTGGTTGTCCTTATCTCTGAAGCCTCCCTAAATTCTTCAGAGGTCCCCTCCTGCACTGTCCCTAAAACTGCCTAATAACCCTAGCTTGCCTGTCTCAAGAGCACCCAATTCAGGCCTCTGGGATCCCTGTCTGTCCCTCGAAGGGGGTCTGGAGATTCGATGTCCCTTAATAGTCCCCCAAAGGCCCTGGGACTGGGTGATGTTATGGAGGTGATTCCTATGAGCACCCCAAATTGCCCCAGTGACTAAACATGTGGGTTAGTTTTTTGCATGTCAAGAACATTAAGGGGGCACTCTCTGAAGGTATGCTTTTTCTCTATGTTCCAGGTATTCCTTTACCAAGTCAAATTTACATTTGGCCCATGGTGATCAATCCTGGCTTTCATAGAGGTTTTGTTCATTTGGACAAGAGGGGTCATGATACCAAAGACCCAGCTCAGAAAGTTCAATATTTACAGCAGCAGCCAAAAGTTGTTTCTGCTCTTAAAGATCTCAAGACGAAGGCTGATGTAACTAGGAGCCCCAAGCCTTGAATTAAAGACCCGTGCCCATCTGTCAATCAGGGAGAGGAATTCAGGTCCCCACCAGTGGAAAAGAAGGGAAAAGAAATGGTGATGGTGGAGAGGAGCCGTGAGGAGACTTGGAAACAGAGCAAAGCAGCCCTTGAGGAGGAGTGGTAATCAAGCTCAGCAAAGGCAAGAGAGGCTTGTGCCAGGAAAGGGGTGGGGCCACATTCAGCAAGACAAAGGCAAGAGCAAGATTGAAAAAGAGGACAAAGAGGAAAGCAATTCACACAATGGAGGAAAGAGAACCAATTCCAGGTCCCAGGTAAAACCTAAGTGGAAATTGCCCCGCGGGGAGTGGGTTATGGAGGTGTTTGCAGTGTGGTCCTAAGACACACACCCTTTAGCTTCCCAGTGGCAGGACCAAACTAAGCTGGGGGCATGAGCTACTTTGTCCCGCCACAGGCGTCTTCTTGAATGCAGGGGCCACTCTTGAGCTCTTAACTGGCTGCCCATGCTCATGATTTTGAGCCACAGTAGGATCTTGTCTCAGAGAGAACAAGAGAAAAAGGAAGTGAGGGAGAGCCTGCACCGTCCCCAGATATCTGGGAAGGCTGACTCAGCTACAAGGAAAAAGGAGGAAGGGAAAACTGAGTTAGAAAAACAAAAACTTACCAGGGCTGGCGAATCTCCCCACTCTGGGCACCAGATAATGGCGGCTCGTGCACTGAGCGGGTCCTTGGATCCCTCCAGGAATGAACTCAGCAAGTGTCTTCAGAGTAAATGGAACACCCCGAATTTATTAAGCGAAGGAAAAAGGTGTTTGCAAAGTCAGGAATGGGTGGGCTGTCTTGCTTAGAAGTGGGGGGTTGGTTTTCAGGTTTGGATTTTTTTTTTTTTTTAATTTTTTTTCCTTTGCTCTTTTTCACTTTTTTTCTCTCTACTTCCGCTTTAGCACTTTTGCAGTCAATTCTGCTAGCTGCTTACTTGCTATCTACTGCCCATCTCCAGTCTGTGGTTTGGTGAGCCTACCAGCTCCCTTTTCTGTTTGGAGGTACCATCAGATAGACTGAAGGTCCTTCAATGTTTTCCCTTTGCCAGTTCTGATCTCTCCTCCCCACCTGGAGTATTTCTTTTCATTTATTTTCTTATGATGTTGTTCATTTTTGCACAATATTTGATTTCTTCCCTAGGGTGTAGTCCCTGTAGTTCCCCCACCACTATAGCACCTGTGATCCATCGCCACAGGCCCTTGTGCTCTTCCCTCCCCTGTTCTGACCCTTCTCCTTCTCCTTCCCCTGCTGTCTGCCTCAGATCTATGGTCAGCTTGCAAGTTTTGTCTTTATCCTGACCCTTTACTTGATTTCCCTACCTTCTTCCTATAAGTGAAACCATCTGATATTTCTTTTTCCTTCTGACTTATTTCACTTGGCATAATCCCTTCCAGTTCCACCCATGTTGGCTGCAAATTGCATGAGTTTATCCTTTCTGATCTCTGAGTAGTATCCTATTGTGCCTATACACCACATCTTCTTGATCCAGTCATCTGTTTATTATTTGGACTATTTCTTACACTTTGTCACTTTTACCTTTTGACTGCCACATGCAATCTTTAGGTCTTCATCCAGTTGTCTGCTAACACTTACCTCTTCTTAGGGGACCTTCCTGTTTCCCTCACTTTTAGAGATACTTCCCCTTCAGAAAACAGTTCAGAGTTGTTGGGTACTGATGAGGTTAAATTAAACTTTAAATTAATTTAAACTGTGTCCTGGGCTGGCCCTCCCACTAGCTCCCAACCACTGGCAATATTTCCTGTACTCCAGCTGCCCATCAGCACCATCATACCTACCTACCTTCAGAGAGTAGGATATAACCAGCACTTGCCAGTCCAGCACTTACCTAATGAACAAAAAAACTACAAGGCAACAGAAAATACAATATAAAAGCTACATTCCACCTGCTAGCTTTCGCAGACAGTCACTAATCTTTGCAAAAAGCCACTGACTTCTGCCCTTTTCTCCCTTGGAAAGTACTTTCAAAAAATTTTGCTTTATTTCTAACCTCTCAATTTCTGTGGATTCTTCCACAACCCACAATGAGCTAACCCAGAACCCAGCTCAGCACAATGGGTACCTGATTTCCTGTGATTCCTTGTTGATTCTATCCTTGTCCACCTCTGACAGCAATGCCTGAGAAGGTAGTGCGCTGACCCTTTTATCTTGAAAAAAGGTTTACTTTCAGTTTCAAAACAGATTTGAAAGGGAAGTAGGATAATTTATGAACTATTTCATCTGCACTTTTTTTGTTGTACTTTACCTATCCTGTGAAGAAGATGAGGACCTTTACATTTACTATCCATGGGACTGAGGCGTGTTTGTGCATGTGTGAGTGTGTATGTGTGCGTGCGTGTGTGTGTGTCTTGCTGCTTGCAGGAAGATCCTGCAAAAAGGAGGGATTGTTGATCCTTAGTATGAACCCAACACCTGGTTACAGTTTTGAATATGAACTTGCCGAAGTATAACCAAACAGATTGTTGATTTTGTACACAATTGCCTTTGGGAAACACTTAGCTTCTCTTGTTTCTCAATCTTTGTATTGAATTAACTGATTTTCGGGGTAATTGGACTCATTAGGTAACTGTTTTAAAAGATGGCAAACACTGCAACAGAGCAGGTTGCCAGAAATCAAAAAACTCCTGTTTTGTCATATTGAGGAAAGAAAATTCCTCCAAAATAATTCTTGGGAATCTAGCAGCCCACCTGTGCCTATATAGGTAGTTCTTTCTGCCAACTCTCTCCCTTTGCAGGGCAGCAGCACACCTGCCTGCCTGTGACCTATAACCATGCTGGTGCTTCTCTTCACTGACCTCCCTTTGCAAAGCAGCAGAGGCTGCTCCTCCCAAGACCTTGTGACTATGTATGCCTCTCTCTTAGCCTACCTGCCCTTTTTAGGGCAGCCCTTTCTTCCTGCTTATGATTGTGCAAGTGTCCTTTATTCTTCTCTCCCTTTTATAATAAACCTATACTTTTGGATATAAAAAAAATACTTGGGCTCTTTTGTAGTATCCAGCTGAACTTTCCACTAGTGTGTAGTCCTTTTACACTGGGTATACTTGGAACAATGTCATTTCCATAGATCTTGCAGATAAGAAACCTAACTTTTCTTTTACTCTAGATCTAACTAATGATCTTGGTGCTACAAATTTCAATTGCTGAATATTCTTGATGAGTAACACAAAAATGTTACAACACTATTCTATAATCCCATAAGGGTATTTTGGACAAAAACATACCATTTGGTAGTCCCAATGATTGGTATTGAATGAAAACACAAAAGACTACTAGCTAGTAGTAGAGCCAGTATATAATGCAAGTCCACACATTAGTAAGGAAAGTTTTTAGTTAACAAAATTTTTTTATTGAACTTTTAAATTTTCTTGCATTGTTGTTCATTTTTGTACAATATTTGATTTTTCCCCTCAGGTATAGTCCCCATAAATTTCCCACCACCACATCACCTGTGAACCATCACCTTAGTCCCTTGTGCTCTTCCCTCCCCTGTTTTGAGCCTGAGCCCTCCCCTTCCCCTGCTGTATGCTTCAAATCTTTAGTTGCCTGCAAGTTATGTCTTTTTCTTTTTGACCCTTAATTTAGATTCCCTGTCTTCCTCCTATAAGTAAAACCATCTGATATTTTTCTTTTTGACTTATTTTACTGAGCATAATCCCTTCTAGCTCTATCCATGTTGCTGGGAATGGCATGAGTTTGTTTTTTTATTGCCAAATAGTACTCCATTGTGTGTGTGTGTATGTGTATCTATCTCACATCTTCTTGGTCCATTGATCTGTTTTTGGGCATTTAGTTTGTTTCCATATCTTACCTATTGTAAATAGTGCTGCAATAAACATAGGAGTGCAGGTTTAGTAAGGAAAGTTTATTAAGGGGGACTATTGCAATAAGGTAATGCTCAAAATCTAAACCAGAATGTCCCAGGGAAGCATGGGAAAAATTTTTATATATAAAGCTTTTATATGCAGAGACTGTAGGGGTAGGACTATGGAATAAGGAAGAAAGATGCTAAAAAATGCTAGGGTGTGGGGCACTGCTGTTTATTGTCAAACACATGGGAATGATCTGGTCTGAACAGGATCTTGTCTGAAACAGACAAGTTACAATGCAGGAAGTTCACATCAAGTTCATGACCTGACTACTTCTTAGTCAAACCACACTAAATTTAAATTTAAATCAGCCTCTCATTTAAGACAGGATTAGAGAGGTTGTTCCCTTAGTGATTCAGGTGTAAGGGGAGTCTGAAGTAAGGTATGGTTGTGTAAATTTGTTCCCACTCAAGAGTTTTTTTGTGATATTGATTCTAGAGACCCAGTTGAACCATTTCTTGGGTGTACTGACAAAAGTCAGTTGTTTTAACCTCCTACAGAGCAGGTTTCTGAAAGTGGGAATCGAAAATGAAAATATTGATGTAAAAGATCATATTACAGTAAAAGTCAGTAACTGAATCCTGAGAAGTTTAAGACATAGTGGATGAAAATCTTCTGATTATAAAGCAGTTGTTTCTTGAAGCTAAATTGTAGGTTCTTGTAAGGGCAGGAAGGGCCAGAGCAGGTTTTCTATGATCCCATGCAGACCAGGTAAAGGAGGAGAGAGTCCTGGAGTCCTTGGTGGCTTTTGCAGGCTTTTATTGGAATTTACCGGGTATACAGCAGTCAGGGGTGCTGGGAGGCGCAAAGGCTGGCAGGCCTCCCAGCCCCCAGCAAGTCTTCATTCTGTCTGGGCTCTCTGGTGATCTCTGCTGTTCTGCTCTCTCGTCTCCATTTGTTCTGCTTCTGCTTCTCCTGGCTTCTGCTGGCATCCCTGTGATGCCGCCCTTATAAACTCAGTCTCTCAGCCCAGGTGTCCCACTTCTCAGCCTGTGTGTCCCACCACAGGGTTCCCTCATCTATCCTAATGGTGGGAGGGCAGAAAAGCCTGATACTTTTACCTTACCCTGTAGTTCTTTTTGTGATATTGACCACCATCTTGGTTATCCTTCCAGAAAGCATCTTCTCTGGTCAATATTTGACCCCTGCATGGTCTGCTAAGGTGATAAGTCACTTGAGGTCTATATTGTGGGAGCAGAGTGTAAATTTCCCCCTATTTCTCTATTTTATCTTGGTTTGGATGAGTAATCAAAACTGCAGCAGACAGAATAGTAGGAGAAAAAGTTAAATTTAGTTATGTATCTACACAGAGAATATGAATTCCATTTTGGGTGGGAGAGAGGAGAGTAAGTTTGACTGAGAAATCTTGAAATTAAAGTTGACATAGGGAATGTTCAAAGTGGAGAAGGGACCCTATAGAAAAGTAGAACTTACGCACATCTACCACACCTGACGACTGGGTAACTCAAATTTACAATTGCATATGTTATCCTCAAACCAGCATCCTGACAACTGGCATTGGAGGAGTTTGGAAAGATGGTACCAAGCCTTCTCAAAGACTGATAAACACTATCAGATCTCAGTTTCAAAAAGGACAATCTTCCACCTACACTAACGTACAGGCATCTCTCTCTCTCTCTTGCATGTTTTTCTTTCTCCTTCTTGGAAATTTTATTAGTTTACCTAGTACAGCAATAAAGTGTCTCTGCCCTACCAGATAAGCTCTCCCAATCCTTTATTTTTCCTCTAGGTTTAAGAAACCCTGAGTTTTTTACATTCCAAGGGAAAAAAGCATTGCTAGGAAGATAACATTAGAATTCCTGACCACCAGATGAGGGTGAAAGCAAGCTGTCTTCAACAGAATCACCAGTTGTTTGTGTTACAAGGATGGATATGCTGATCCTTGATCACCCCTCCCTTCTGTCCCTTGTAACTCTAGATAAATACCCTTGTACTCTGCCAGCCAGACGGTGGGCTTTCAGACACTTGTCTGCTGCCCAATTTGTTGACAAATAAACTAATTTCCTTCTCCTCAAACTGTTTCCTTTTATTGGCCAAAGGAAGAGGAACTGGCCCGCATTCTGGTAACATACCCGTGGGAGGCAATCTCCCAATATAAGCTTTGTATTTTGCTTCCTGTAGTGATGTTGCCCAATTGCAACTCCCTGAAGACCTCAAATAAAATATTTTTTTCACTTGCAGATGAAGCTCTGACTCACAGTTGAATTAGTCTTTAATAATATATCCTGAGCTAAGAAATGAGATACGGGTCTGAGGTTTCAAGGAGAGAAGAGCTGGACTCACATGATAAAAAGACCAGAACTCTGCAATTTCATATAGATAGGTTTCTTGATGTAGAAATAACTTCTTCAAAGTTATTTCTGGAGATAACCCTACATGTGGGTGATACCCTCAATTTTCATTGTTGTGACTAGTGAAGGGGATGGCAAACTTACCCTTGAACCTGCATCCTGCATGACCTTAGTTGACCTTGGCTAGAAATAATCCACACACCAAATTGGTAGGTCTTGGGGAGGCCTGTTCTGAGCACCTTCAATATCAAGTCAAGTCCCTCAAGAGGGGTGTGTGTGTGTGTGTGTGTGTGTGTGTGTGTGTATAAAGTCCTTGGCCCTCACTTGCAATGCTTCTTTAGATCCTGCGGGAAAGGTCAGATAGAAGTGTTACAGGAAGGGACCTGGGGACGTCTCTAGGATCGGTGAGGGAACA